GTTTTTTCCCCGACGCTCGTTACTTTCTCTTTGCGCTTCATATTCAGTTGGTCATTGAACGGTTGGAAAAGCTTTTGCGCCTCGCGGAATAGATAGTATCCGCTTGCAGGGGAAAAGGAACGGGCGACGCAGAAGACAGAGGAAAAAGAAACCGATGGAATAAGGGCACGTTCCCCGGAAGTGGTGTTTCGAGAATGCTGTGAAAGTAGAAATAGCTGGCGCTAGGGCGGAGTAAAACAAAAGTCTCGTCTGGTTTATCAATCCCGTGGCTGCGGACTCGCGGCCGTACTGGTTTCAGGAAAGACCGGCTGGATTAAAGGCTTGCGTGTGCTTGCGTACGTGACAGTTTTCACGATTGACGGAAGAAAGATCGCGATGGTGTCACGGCAATAATGATAAAAATCTCGTACTATGGTGATACCATTACATACAGTCGGTCGAGGAAATACTCGGCAATACGAAATACTTTGCAGTACGAGCACGATTTCAAAACGCTGGACTAAATGACTTGAATTTTTTGAAAATGTTAAGCGGTTACTAACAAACTATAAACGAATTTTTGTTAAAATTAAAATCGACTGAATTGACAAAAAATATCACATATTTTTTAACTTCTTCATTTGAGTGAATAATTAAACTTTGAACATATGCTGCGTGCTGACTTATGCGCATACTGAAAATTTCATTGATATCGGTTAGCGTTGTTACAATTGAAGATTTTTATATTTTTCAATGTTTCGAGTCCACAACAATGTTCATCGATTTCCATGAAATTTGCAGCATACACAGTTACCGAGATCTACAAAATGCAATGTTTCAAGTTTAATTATTCACTCAAATAGAAAAGTTACAAAGTACGAGTTTTTGTTATCTTTTCACAATTTCAATCAATATTAATTTTTACAAAAATAGTCCTTCTAACACCTAAAACAAATTCAAGTGGATTGATTGAATTTTTAAAAAATTATTATTATTATTATATTATTATTATATCTGTGATGGACAGAAATGTCTTATTTTGAAAATATTGAGGATGCTTTGCATCTTTGCCTCTTCGAGGGGATTCAAATTTTGTCTACGTCTACAAATTTCACATAATTTTTGTGTCTATTACATAGATTATTAGATGAGGATTTTCAACTCATACTATATACAAACAGTTTCAACTAATAAATTATTTGCAAACATTTACGCAAATATAAATTTCGAATGTTAGATACTATTATTTATTTGGATATTTTTAAATATTTGATGATTAATAAATAGTCTGTATAATTTTCTGACCGAAACGTCATTAGCAAAGTTAAGGATAACACATGTATTTTAAAACGTGCAGGAAAATTCAACTTTTAATATTGTCGATTATGTAATGGAATTATGGATTATTCCATCGAGTTCGTTCCACGGAAAATGTATTTTATGGCCTCTCATGTTATTGAATTGCGACTGAAAAAATTAAATACGACGTGACAGAATTTTCATGAATGTAATTGAAATATTATACCATAAATTATCCCTCTTATTTTCTGTATAATATTCATACAACATATACTACATTTTCCATTTACAGCCGTATCGTCGCAGCAGTTCTATTAAAAATTTTAAAGACTACGGAATATGCTATTGCACAATGTCGAATATCGTTAAATGAAAAATTCTTTGTCTTCGTATTAATATCGATGGTCTTCAGAGAACTATTTCTGTGTTTTTTAAGGCGATCATTTAATGCTTAATAAAGCATTAATAATACGCTCGAGAACGAACGTGTTTCAAAATAAGCGTACTATGTAAAAACATAGCTGTGCAGTAAGTTCAGAGGAAAGCAGGTTCTTATCGAGTGCTGTTGTAGATACACGTTTCTTCTTCCGTACTACGCGTATCAAGCCAGATAAAGGTTTTCTTTGATGTATTTGCAGAGCACTCTGCTTTCAAGAAATTTTTCAATTGTTCGAGTGATGAAAATCAAGCTTTTATCTACCGATATCGCTTCGCGGGGACATTCTCGTGTACGAGAGAAATTCGTAGAGCATTCGTACAGGAAATATGGAAGAAAATAATGGTCTTGTAGGAAGGAAAATCTGTGGTAAATTGGAATCGAGCGATCAGCCCCGCCAAGTCTCTCCAAACGGCTACGTATACTTTCATGTATACCTATATACAACACATGACATGCATACACGCAAAACTATAATTCGACGTTGTAGGGAATCCTCTTGAAACATGTTTTCCTTCTGCGACATGATGCAGTCAAATGAATTTCGTTAAATTCGAACGAGAAATGTGTATTCTAAATATTGTTTTATGTAACAAAATTGTAAACGAATTATATTATTTCATATAGTAGACAATAGTTTTGAAGCTGAACAGTATAGTAACGATTGAAAATAATCTTACCGAATAATTATTAATATAATATGCACATGATTAAAGTGCAAATTTTTATGTAAAGTCAAAATTTTCTATCCGAATTGTATCCAATGCGAGTCGAATACAAAATTCACTTCAATAAGATTTGCAGGCTACACATGATTAATTATGTAATTGTTCGTAACTATTTAAATTATTTACTTGTCCAATTCATATTATAATTTTTTAATAATTCAAGTCCCTTTTTTTCTAGTTTGTTGTATTTTTTTAGTTTCAATTTTTTTAAATAATGCTATAAAGCAATATTAAAAGTGGTTTTTAAATTTCTTCTTAAATCCACTCTCTATACTTTAACGAATTACTAGCGAAATGACAGTTTTCTGTGATCGTTTGTAAACTAGGATTTGTACTTTCAATTCGAAACTTTGACAAAATTGAAAAATGAGATATCTGCATCGTCGCGTAGTAACGTCCAAAATTTTTTATCGATGTCAGGCATTAGCTCTGAATTAGAAATTGCATCCAATGTTATTTACACTGGGATGTGCAAATATTCTTCAGGAATTGTTTCTTCTAAATTAAAACATCGATGGTTACTATAGATTACATATTTTTCATTTAAATTCTCATTTCTTAAATTCTTAATAGATTGAATTCAAATTTACGAGATACTGTATTCGTATTTTAGGAAATTCAACATTTTGTAATAAAGGAGAAATGAAAAAAATTAATTAACATTCACTGCATATGCGAATCATGAGAAAGTGGTAATATAGGTAATATAGTTCAGTGTGTGGGATTCGAGAGATGAAGGCTCTCTTTGTATTACGTATTCGTACGGAATCCCGAAGCTTGGCATAATGTTGGTCATAATCTTAAGATTGAAATTAAATTACCTCCCATTAGACAATTCTAGTAATATATGCAGGTGGCAATAGTGCTTAACGCGAACCACCGAAATAATGAATCTCTCCTTACTATATCTCTGTTTCTTCATACTTTGTATTCATAAGACGGTACAATATGCATGAATGTGTACCCCATACAAACACGCTGTGGTACGTGCAAAGGCATAGTCGCGTAAAGAACACCATAACATATAGTTAAGGTATACTAACCTCACCCAGGTAAAGTTTCCTAAAACGTTATATTTCAATTCCTATTTTTCTTACGAACATTTTTGAAGTTCACCCAGCAGATCTAGGCAGCACATTTTAATAAATTTCAAAGATTATTAAAAATTAATGAAAGTAATTTGCATTGGTTGTAAAATGATACTATACATGGGTGATATTCTAGTAATTTTGCCAGTTTTATTATTCCAAAAATATTAAATAGTAGATATTCACCGTTTACTAAAAAGATTTGGTAAAAATGTTTATCATCTTCTATTGAATTAAATAACAGACTTTATTATTTAATTAATCCTTTACAGAATAACGATTTTTATAAAAATTCCACTTGATGGGAGCATTGTAACGTAAATGAACGTTTTACGAACTGATTTAAGGAATGGGATTTAATTAGAACCTAATTACTTGGATGAATAGTTCAACTACACAAAAATAATGAAATTCATGAATAAATTGTGCTGGCTACGATGCTAATATGTTCAATTTCATCAAAGCAGTAATTTTCAAAAAATATTCCGAAATCGTCGCACGCTCGCAGGTCCAACAAACTCGGTTGATGTTGACATTATCCTTTGATCTTCTAATTTTCAAGCACCCTGCATAAGGGATACACGAAGAAGATTGTAAGCTCGATTGAACAACTAGTCGAAAATATTTGTCACTAATCGGACAAGAAACTTTCTGACGGTATAAAATCTAAAATCAATCTGAAACAGATTCGTCTCATCTGAACGCATTCTGATCCAAGAATCAAACACATTAACTATGTTTTGACGAGTGTAGCAACAAAGCGTCTAACAGATTCTTCTTATCTGGACCAATTTAGGTTCAACGTTCAAACTCATTGAATTGCAAATAAATGTGTGTTCTTAAATCTGGCGATGAGCTGTGTAACTGTGAAGAGGACTTTTCTAGACCAATTTATACGCAAAAGTCAACTCGTTCAAGTCGAAACTAACAGTAATACAGTCTAATAAGGATTCAGTAATGTCAAACAATCGAATTCATCTATTCTGTAGAGTCTTCCCTCGAGTCTGATACCAAAGCTTCTAGCAGTAACAATCTAAAATCAGCTTAAAACAGATTCGTTTCATTTGAATTCAAATGTAAATATCTGTGCTTAAGTCTAGCAGCAAAGAGAATCGTCTTATCCGAGTCCATTTCGATCCAAGACTCAAACTGATTGACATGAAAGTAGATATGTGCCCTGTAGGAAACATAATTTCGAGGGACAGTTCCATCATACGAACAATTTAGACCCAGTAGTTGAACCAACTTCATCGCACGTCTTCATCCTGAACTTTAGTGACCAATTGTCTATCTCTGTAAGATTTAAGATCATCCAGAACTAGATTCGCCGTACCTAGATCAATCTGTGTCGAAGAGTGATACTGAACTAGTCGAAAGTATTGGTCCTTAAACCTGGCGACAGCTGTAGAGGTGTAGGATCTAGGATCAGGGTGAGACAGGTTCGCCTCGTCTCACCCTAGACCCATTTAGGCCCACGTTAGGTCCCGGCTAGAGGGCAGCTCGCGCAGCCGCACCGTGGTAGACAAGTGACGATGGACAGGCGCGAAAGGTGTCCCGCGATAGAGACGAGGAACATGGCGCCGGTTGTGGATCGCGTGAATCGCGGGAGGATGCAGTGATCGGTGTGACCTACCGACCAGTGGATCGACGGGAGGACGATGCATCACTCCGGAGGTACCGGGTACGGGACCGGGCCCCAGGAGCGAGTGCACCAAGCGCCGCGAACTACCGGCCAACCTGACAAGTGTCCCTACGAGACCTACCAGGCCCAGATACCGGATTGCTGTGCAGCTGCCGCTGCGGTCCAGGATCCGTATCCACGACCACCGAGCGGATATGACGGCAGGTGCTACGATGAGTGTCATCGCAGGACTCCCTATCAGGAAGACACCTATCCCCAGGTACGTGACACGACTTTCCTATTTCCCAATTTTTCCGCTCCCGTTGTCTCAGCTTGGACACGGTATAGCCGGAGCAATTGCATACGAAGCATTGTTCTGCGCGTTACCGAAGATTTATCGGGGTTCTTGTTCCCATACGGACGGACACCCGGCATTGGCAGAAAATGCAACGGCAAATCGAAATAGTCGACGTGATTACCTCGAGGAATTGTTTGCATGCGTTATGACCGAGAGGGATTTGTCAGATGCACTTATCGTTGATAAGTGGCCCCTTGTTAGGTTCAGCTTTTGCACTCAACCTTATTCCTTTTGTTGATCGCGCTCACCCTTTAGCACTCGAAATCAATTATTTCGTAGATCATATTCACCTTTCACGAATCACCTTTCTTCGAGTCCATTCTTTTGAAGTTTATTTCTCAAAAAAATAAAAGAATCTTTATGCGAAGTGAAAATGATCTGCAGCAATTGCAAGATGTAAGAGCCAAGCGCGATCATGTTCCACGCTTAAATCATTTTAATGTGTTGCAATTAACATATCGACATTTCTAGTTTCCTTTAATTTTTTTACTATACTGTATTCTATACTATTCATTGTTCTATGTTTCACCTGTACATTTTTCTCATAACAATTTTTCTGCATAAAAATCTCAGACGCACTATTACGAGCAATAGTATACGTCCGTTTTGTTTCTTTCATGGAACAGAGTATGGTAAAAGTTCCGACTACGTCGTTTATGAACATACTTACGAAATTATTGCGTCCAGGTATTAAATCTATTCAATACCTACTAAATAGTACCAAATACTACAACTAACTGCATGAAAAATATGAATAAAATAATAAGAACAGAAGAACCGTAAAGAAGCTACTAATTCGCATTAAATGGTTACAGAAATTTAATAATATCATACCATTCTCAATTGCAACGAAGAATAGTACAGTAGAAAAGACTTGTGATAGTCAGACATACGAGGGAAATGAAATTCAAGCGTATCTGCGACTGATATACCTTTCCAAACTCGTTTATCTGCAATACTAAACTTTCACTAAAACATTGATATTTTGTTTTATATCTTGTTAGCGTTACAAACACATTCACTGACAGCAGAGTTTAAACGTAAATAAATACAATCAGTTTTCTCAACTAACAAATAGCTTTGATTTAAGGATTATATACGTACATAAATATTTACACATACAATGGCTCACAGGGGTGTTCGTGTATCTTTTAAGACGCAATAACTTTTTGAAAGCTTTTGTAACTCACTGTACATTTTATCGTTTTTATTCGTGTAAACAGTTAAACAAACGTATCACAACCATTTTTGAAAGCCCGCATAGCTGAATACGGATTAATTGCTCGTTCAATTATAATGCTACGTAGATTCGTTTAATACAAAGGTAACGAAATATGAAATTAATTAATTCAATAATAACATAAAGCGGATAAATATATCGAAGCGTAGTCCGCATAATTAGTTGAGAAACAATGAATTGGCCGATCAGATTCGTCATGTTATAAATGATAGAAGTGACAAGCAGCGGACGATAACAGCGATCGTTGTTTAATAACGCGTCGATTATGTGTACAATAAGGATTAAAAACGGGAAATTATATTTCAAAGAAAAACAGTTGTTTTAAGTGACTCGGCATGATATTAATTAAGCCTGTCCGTTACACGCAAACTGCAACGAATGAGATTACTCTCATTTGGAAGACTCGGTGTAGATGTAGATATGAAATATCAAATTACAAACTTGATGCAACGTTCGTCTCCGGCTTATGTTAGCTCTAATTTTATCTCGCAGAAGGCTCGTATTCTCGAGGAAACACCATAGCACGGGGGGAGAACAAAATTTTCTACATTCTATTTTCCCAGTTAACGTTAACGTCGCGTCTCGATCCGGGCGCTAATTAAATTAAATTTCGTCCCGAGGCGTGCGTGCGTGCGTGTTTCTTTAATTACTCAATAGAATAGAACGAGTACCGTGGTCCCGCGACCAGCGATCTCCTCGAGCCCGATATTTATGATTATTGTTCCATTGAAAATTAAATTTCACGTTCCCGCGAAAGGTGCAGGTTAATTAGTGCTGAGAAGGGAAACTTTAAGCTGCTGATGATTCAGCAGGAAACTTTGTTCGATAGTCTGACGCCAGCAATATGAGCCATTTCAGCTTAACTAATTCTAAGACCTCATGTTACGCAGAGTTGCTGCAACATTAAAGACTTACATCGATCCCCGGGAACCGATTAGTATCCTTAAAATGCATATAATTAGATCCATTAATTAAAGTTTCATATTTAATGTAGAACCGGCGCTGTTTAGTTCGCATTCGCAGTTAATTAGACGCAGTATTGCTATTACGCCAGAGGATCACGGTAACGGGAAATCTTGTTCTCAAGTAATCACGAGCCAATTTCAAGAAATTCATAACAACGAGTAACTAACACGAACATTTCTGTCAATATGCCGAACAAGTAATTAATTGAAGTTACCAGAAGTTTCATTGAAGTTTATAGAAAAAGCAATGTTTCCAGAAAGATCACGTTAAACAATATGTTGGAAGAAATATTGATAAATAAAATTATAGACGATCTTAAGCACATCCGATTATACTTTTGTCGAAAAGGTCTGCTGTTCGAGTATTATTATTCGATGTGAAAGTATGAAGATTGCAATCGATTCCAAAATGAGGTAAGATGTATGAAATATTGCATTGAAATAAAGGAATAAATTATTTTCTACCAATTGCACAAATTTCGACAAACGATATATTAGAATTAAAAATACTATTAAAATTCAAGAAACGATAAGATTTGTATGAATTTAACAACCCAAACGAGTTTTAAACTTGTATTTGATTAACCCTAGAAAGATAACCATATGACAACGTACGTAAAAGATAACCATACGCTTCAGAGGCGCATGCTTTTCTAAGGCGTCAATTTTATACTAACAATGGATATTTATTTAAGTTAATCTAGTCATTTTAAAGGTTTGGCATTATTGTAAAAATAAAATGCATTTATATTATATTTTTTTATATTTTAAGTAATTTTAAACTTAAATCACTAGACCTCTATGAAAAATTAACAAAAATCAACAGTCTTCGCAGGCGCCTCTGCGACGTAGGTTATCTTTCTCGGGTTAATAAAGCAGTCTACACAGAAAAAGATGAATGATTGAATACGAAATATTAAAGATTTAAGTTATATGTTTCTTGAACAGTAATTCTTTGATACTATATTGTGATTAAATCGTTCGAGGTTGTATCGATTCGGTGCGTTTATATTCTCGCCGATGTATTGGTAGAGACCTGTGTTACAATTTTTCCATTTGTTTTGGGCCGACGAACCGACGATTTTTAATCAAAATATAACAGTTCCAACAAATATCAAGGTTCAAATGTGTTTAAAAGAATTAAACCTCTTGCGCTATGATCTCGTTCACAACTACATCGATTAATACTTGTTTGTACTTAATCATTTCTGAATTGCAAGAAATAGAAACTGAATAAAAAGTTAATTCTTTTTTAAATAATTCTATTAGATTAAAAATAATAGAATGTCACTTATAAAAATTTGTTATGCTCTTTGCTATTTTCAATTGAAACTTCTCATTCTTGCCATACATGCATCAAATCCGCAATCCATTAATAACACAAGAATTCAATTTCGCTTCGATGCAGAAGAAATGAATAGCATTCCGATTTAGTAGATTACGTATGAAATCTTCGGACAAGAGCCCGGCTCGTTGATACAGTGCAAATGCAAGAGAGATGCAATCCGGAGATCCAGCAAATTAATAAAGGAGCCCGGAGGACGAGAAATGAAATGCGAAGCTTAAAAATCTGAAAAAGTTAAGAGATTCCGTTTGTTGTTTTCATATTCCAGAAACGGTTCTTCTCCGATATTACGACACCGTCAAACCGATCGAGTTTCTCTTGATCCGACGCGATCATATTTTTGTCGATACATTGATAGAGTGTTATGTTACAATTTTTCCATTCGGTTGCGGCGACTCTAGCGACGCGCGGTAACTTTCAAGCGAGAATCGATTACGAGGATCCGTGCCAACTGATTTCCAAAATAACGCTTTGTTCGACGGTCTCTGCGCGGCGGGCTCCGTGCGATTTTTTTTCCGCGACCGCGATACGCTATCTCTCTTTCAATGAAACCTCGTTCCCTTTTGAAATTCCTGGCTATGCATGCGCGCAGCCGAGTTTCTTTGATCCTCGTTTCAACGGGCATTACTACTCGCACATGTCGTTGCATCTAAAATTAACGATATACACGCGTTTCTTTACGGTTCAGCCGTGGGGGAATATTAACGTGGATGCATTTCGTAGAACACGTCATTGCCTTAAACTATTCCCACAGTGTTACGCGGTTTCGCTCTGTTCTTCGCCGGTTTCCTTTGGGCATACCTCGAGTCGCCGCGCCTCCATTAAACTGATGGCAGCAATGAGCGAAACGGCTTTGTGCGGGCCCTACTCGAACCGAACATTCAGAACCATCTGAAATTCTGGAAATATTGCACGCCGTTGATAAATATCGCGCGGGATCACTCCTGCGATTCGCATCGGGCGTGTGCCGACGCAAACGGGGAACAGTATTCGAATCACTGTGCGCTCGTAGTTGAAATGAATGCGCGTTGCGCAACTCAGCGTGCAAGTGAATATGCTGGAAATGTATGCGTTCCGTAGATGGAATATTTTATGAACGCACAAAGGGACGATGGTAGAAATTGGACAATTTTTCGGTTCTCCAGGTTCCAAGGAATCCGAAGAAGCGTTGTTCACTGTAAAAAGATTAAGCGCCGTCTTTGGAAAGGCTCGATCGTCGATCGAATTCGTCTGTTTTGTCGGACTGCGGATTTTAGGCATTTATTGCAACAATGAGTAGGGTAGTAGAGTCGATTACATTCATCGAATAAGTTATTCTTATTCTTTTATTTCGTCTAGTTTTTAATAAATATTGCTGTGCCTTTGGTTTCTC